GCGCTTGTTACTACTCCTTTTTCAACTTCCAAGAGATAAGTTAAACCAAGTTATTTTCTTTTTATTTAATTGCATGAGCTCTCAATTTACCTAAAGCAAGAAGCTGTCTCCTCATTACCACCTGTTGCTGCAATCTAAGTATTCCTTCTTGCTATTTTTGTTTTATTTGGAAAACCACCTTTCTGCAATTATCCTGCTTGTTTAATTTTTACTTAAATTAATATTTTTTTTGGAAAAGGATGACAAAGGAAAAGAACTGTTATTTTGTTTATTCATTTTCATGCAATTAAACTGGAAGGTCTCCTGCAAGACTTTAGCAAAGTAAGTTTCTCTTTTTTTCACATTTCCGTAAAGAGACATCACTTCTTTAAATTTTACTGCAATTGAGTTCCATGAAATTTAATTTCAGAGCATTACAGCTTGGATGTGCTCATTGTATATTTCAATTACTGCAAACATTCTAAACAATGACTATTACCCTCCTAAGTTTTCTGTTAGCAATGGTACTCACCAAGACTACCCCTCTATTGTTTGACTTCACTAAGAAACCTCTTTTAATGGTTGACTCGTCCCACTCCATTGAGGCCACAAATGTTTCTCACTTGGAATTCAAGGTGTCTGCCTTCTTCTTTCTCTCAGTAGTCCAGTGTATGCTCTTTCCCTTCTACAGGAACCAGAACCTTTATGGTCTCCAACTGGATTTGAAGCAAATTTCGAAAAGTGAAATTCATAATATTGAACTAGTCAATATATGCAATAGTTAGTTGTTAATCTCAGGAGCTAGTAGACTGCCAGGCTAATGCCCAGAACATGGATTAATCTATTACTTAGATGGAAGAACAAACCAACATTCAAAGAACTAAAAAATATTAATCATTCAGAACTGGGGCACAAACTGACACCATGTGTACCATGAGAACATGCCTAAGTTTTATATCTTTATTATTATTATTATTATTATTATGATATTTATAGAGCGCCGTCAAATTTCGCAGCGCTTTACAATGGGTGGATGAACAGACATGTAGTTGTAACCAGACAAGTTGGACACACAGGAACAGAGGGGTTGAGGGCCCTGCTCAATGAGCTTACATGCTATAGGGAGTGGGGAAAAATGACACAAAAAGGTAAGGATAGTATTAGACTAGTGACAGTTGCAGAAGAGGAATCAGTCAGGAGCTATTAACAGTTTAATTCAAACGCTTTTATGAAGAAGTGGGTTTTTAACGATTTTTTGAAGGAGTGGAGACTGGGTGAGCATCTAACGGAGGAGGGAAGCGAGTTCCACAGGAACGGTGCAGCCCTCGAGAAATCTTGAAGGCGAGCATCAGAGGTGGGAGTATGGACTGAAGATAGACGTAAGTCTTCAGCAGATCGTAAGGGCCTAGATGGGAAATACTTGTGTATAAGGGAGGATAAATAGGTGGGAGCAGCATTATGTAGAGATTTGAAAGCAAGAACCAGAATTTTAAATTGAGCTCTATATTTTATAGGAAGCCAATGTAGGGACTGACAGAAGGGTGAGGCATGGGAGGTGCGGGCGGACAGGAAGATGAGCCTCGCTGCCGCATTCATTATGGACTGTAACAGCGCAAGTTGGGAGCACGTAAGACCACTGAGAAGCGGATTACAGTAGTCAAGGCGAGAAAGGACAGTGGAATGGACCAACACCTTAGTTGCATCTGGCGTTGAGTAGGGGCGGATGCGCGCAATGTTTTTGAGATGAAAATGACAGGATTTGGCGAAAGATATATTGCAGAGAATATACTAGTGTACACCCATTGAAAAAAAAATAGCCTCTAAAAAAACATGAAAAGAATATGTAACAGTACAATTATAATACGAAAGTTCAAAGAGGTATTCGGGGCATGTAGTCAAAAGGCAAATACAAGACAATTCTGTACAAATAAATAGCAAATGGTAAGTTTGCATCTTGCCATATAAAAAAGAGGCAAGTTAAGTGGACGCTCATTTTTATAACAAAGAATTTCATTTAAAGTTTTCACAGTAAATAAATTATAAAGGCAACTATAAAAAATATCACGTTAATACAGCAACATTAATTTCAGTTGTGTAACAAATTAAAATTAAGGAATGTATAATAGAAAACTGAAATGAAAGAGTAGAAAAGAAAGAGTAGAAGGTAGCATCTCCTCAACATTTTTAATAATTAAATAAAAATATCATTACAATTATACAATATGGTAAAGAAATGTGCTTATTAATATCTCATATAAAACATGCAAGTATGTAAGCATACATGTTTTCATATACAAAAGCAATGAGTCTACTCAAAATATTATAGAGCTATATATATTATTGGCTAAAGTAGCCAAACTGAGAAAAAAAAGTTTATCTGGAATTATTGCTACAGCTCTGCAATTGTACATACATTTTGAAAACTTTTTCAGCACCCCACAAATTGCCTTTTAGTGAATAGGTCCTAAAGATAATTCCACAAGGGAATAGCAAGACGAAACCTCATATGGACACACAGGAACATGATTTACTCTCAGAGATTCTAAAGCATCCTGAAATGAATCAGTTGAGAGATACACACATAGATTCAAAATTGTTACACATGGGAAATTACATACAGATACACAATCTCAAACAGGCATAGACAGGTATTTTCAGATTGCATTCTTTACTGTCCTTCCCATCTCCAGAGTCAGGGCTGTCAGATTTTATGGATGTCTATGTCAGTCTCTGGATTTTAATGGAACAAGAAAAGTCTATTTTGAGTGGTCTGAGAGTGCACCTATTTGTTATAGACTGATATCACAGAGATCGTGTGCAGCTATCAAAGGGCTCAATATAACATTTGTGGCCATACAGACACAATGTCACACATGGTATTATTATATGTAATTAGCTGTTCAAGTCAAAATTAGTAGGTTATTAGCAAAACAGGTCATCTGATTTTCTTTGCTTCTTTGGTCTTAAAATAATTTTTTTTTTCTTATTCATATATAATATGATATAAAATGCCATACATAACTTCAAAATTAATTTTCCTATAGCTAAGGGAGCCACATCTTGTGCTTTATCTGAAGGGTAAATTATATTAATACCATCAATAATTGACTATGCAAGAGAGTGATTTAATGAAGTTAAAAAATTATGCATACTACATTAGTATTTTTTGTTTATGTTTTAAAGACTTCCACTGATGTGGTGAAAGGACACTGTATTTCAGAGGTACCGTATATACTCGAGTATAAGTCGAGTTTTTCAGCACATTTTTTGTGCTGAAAAACCTCCACTCGACTTATACTCGAGTCACTGTCTGTATTATGGCAACTTACATTGCCATAATACAGACCAAGACCGCCGGGCTCATTACAAGCCCGGCGGTCCTGTTGGGGGCTGACAGTGAGAGGTTACTTACCTTCCTGCGGCTCCTGTCAGCTCCCTTCTCCTCCGTGCAGCTCCTCTGTCAGCTCCCACTGTAAGTCTCGCGAGAGCCGCGGGGTCACCAGCCCAGTTTCTCTACATCCTCCACATCCAGCATCTTCACCTCCAAGATCGTTTGAGACCAGCCACCTGGACAGCTGTTGCAACAATCGGTTTGCATAACCAAAGCATTTCTGCACAAACTGTCATAAACCATCTTGGGGAATCTGCATGCTCGTCGTCCTCATCGGGGTCTCGACCTGACTGCAGTTTGTCATCGTAACCAACTTGAGTTGGCAAATGCTCACATTTGATGGCGTCTGGCACTTTGGAGAGGTGTTCTCTTTCTAGATGAATCCCAGTTTTCACTGTACAGGGCAGATGGCAGACAGTGTGTATGACATTGTGTGGGTGAGCATTTTGCTGATGTCAATGTTGTGGATCAAGTGACCCATGGTGGCGGTGGGGTTATGGTATGAGTAGGCGTATGTTATAGACAATGAACACAGATGCATTTTATTGATGGCATTTTGAATGCACAGAAATACTGTGACGAGATCCTGAGGCCCATTGTTGTGCCATTCATCCACGACCATCACCTCATGTTGCAGCATGATAATGAATGGCCCCATGTTGCAAGGATCTGTACACAATTCCTGGAAGCTGAAAACATCCCAGTTATTGCATGGCCAGCATACTCACCGGACCTGTCACCCATTGAGCATGTTTGGGGTGCTCTAAATCAGCGTATACGACAGCATGTTCCAAGTCCTGCCAACATCCAGCAACTTTGCACAGCCATTGAAGAGGAGTGACTAACATTCCACAGGCCACAATCAACAAACTGATCAACTCTGTGTTACACTGCATGAGGCAAATGGTGGTCACACCAGATACTGACTGGTTTTTGGACCCCCCAGATCTGCCCAATATTGTAAAACTGCACATTTTAGAGTGTCCCTTTATTGTGGCCAGCCCATGGCACACCCGTGCAATAATCATGCTATCTAATCAGCATCTTGATATGTCACACCTGTGAGGTGGATGGATTATCTCGGCAAAGGAGAAGTCCTCACTAACACAGATTTAGACAGATCTGTGAACAATATTTGAGAGAAATAGGCCTTTTGTGTACATATAAAAAGTCTTAGAAGAAGTGGATTGACATGACTGGCCTCAGTTAGTGGCATGCTGAGCTGGTACATCATCCTAACAGGTTAACAAGCTATGAGGGTGCATTCCTCTATATATATATATATATATTTATATATATATATATATATATCAGATTTTACCAAATAGCTATGTTATCAAAAATGTGGTTATGCAGTCGTTGTCTAACAATGCCAGTATACGTTTGCTAGGGTATTAGTCATAAGGGGCAGGTGAAGGGCATAGCACCCAGGCTAAGCAGTGGGTCTAGACAGATAATCAGAGGCTGCCTCAGTATATGGGGAGATGCCTAAGGTTGCAATATGGCTTACTAAGCATTTAATCACACATAGGCTAGACAATAAAGGGTTCCATGTGCGCTATAAGCCCTCAGTGCTCAGTGTCCATTGCAGCCGGTGACCCCCACCTCAGGTAATCAGTCCATTGTTGGCTTAACCAATACCCATGTCCGGTATGCTCTTGCTGCAGGAGTTTGGCTTCTCCAGAGTCAAGATGCGGTTTGGGCAGCACTCACCCTCTCGTTGGCTTCGGGTCGGTTCAAGGGCTGGTGACTTCGGGCTCCAGGCCTTATGACCCATAAGGTCTAAGTCCTGTTTTCCACGCAGGCGGTGGAGGGTCCTGTTGCATGTCTGTTGCTTGCAGTGGGATTCTTTCCGCCCACGTGGTGGTCGCTGCTGGGTAAGTGCCCCTGTGGCCCTCGGCTTGCATGGGCTGGTCCTGGGCTTGGTGGTTTGCTGGGTAGGTTTTGTGTCCATTTGATAGCCTTCAAGTTTTGGGATTAGGCCTTTCTGGGTTTCCCTTTGTCTGGGTCGTTGTGTGGGTTGCACTCGCCTCTCCAGCATGGCCCAGAATCGGGCAAATAGCTTGTCGATACCCTGGAGTGTTTGCTTCATGTGGTTCGCTGCTGTGTGCGAGGCGAGTGTGTCTGCCATCTTTGGCAGCCCAGGGGATCGCGACTGCCGCTGGTCCGAGTCAGCCTGTTGTTCACTGTGGCAGGTGTCCGCCGTCCGGGTGCTTGCCAGGTCGGACCGGGATAACCCCCGCCGGTCCGGGGTGGGACCTCTTTAGTCGTGTGTCACCTCCAGTTAGAGCAGTAGGAGAGCGGCCGTCTCTCCTTGGCCCAGTTACTGGTAGGCCGCAAAGCCTTGAGTCAGATTTGCCAGCCGAGGAGCGGCCCGCGAGAGGTATCCTCAGAACCGCCGGCATGTCAGGATCAGGTTGGGTAAGGTTCTGCAGCCCAGTAGGTATTCAGCTCGTTTTTGCTGTCGAGTTTGATGTGCCAGACACAGGAGCTCATGCAGCACACGTCTGGACTGCTCCGTGGTCAGGCTCCGCCCCCCTTTTTATACTTTTTATAACCAATAAACCTCCTTTTGATCTATCTACCTGTCGGAGTCCTGCATGGTTCCTGATAGTGGGTGATATTTCATCCTAAGAGGGAGACACTAGCTCCCCAAAACATCGGGGGAGGCCCCAATAGAGCGCATATACTTTCAACATCCTGTGAGTGAAATCTATAGCAGGAAATATTACATTTCTAAAACTATATTATGATATGTTTTATTTAATTTTATTTTAGATTCATCAACTGAATCCCACACATATTGTATTTCTCAGTAGACTATGTTTTATTATACATTTTATTTAGTGGAGCATTTGAAATTCTGAGACATATGGAAGATCTTAAAAAATACAAGATAATAGTGTACCGCTTAAAAATACAGCAAGTGATTGAATAAAATTCACTTTTCAGAAATGTCCCAACTTTTTCACAAATAAAATCCAATTAGTCATACAAAGTGCTCATGCAAACAAAGACATACATTTTTTTGCAAAGGTAATATTATGATCAATCCAAATGTGGTGTTCTGGAAAATTCTTTTAAAGTTCTTATTGAACAATTTTGTGCAAAATGTGCAATATAATATTACAACTGCGTAAACATTAGTGAGCACAAATATATATACTTAGCAGCAATATGGCTTCTTTAAATGAGATATACCTCAAAGAAAAAGAAAATGAAAAAAGAACAATAGTGAAGACTGTTTATATAAAGGACAAAATCTTTCCCACTGGGTTTCTTAAGACTCCCACTCACATTGCTCAGAGCCTATATGCATGGCTCTGGGTTATGTACATTGGAGCCTCTTTTTGGGGGACTCCTCCCCTCTTTTCACTAGTGGCCTTTTACCTTGAAGAAAAAGATACACGGCAAGATCTAATGCAATATGTATAAGCAGTTTGAAAATATATCTGTAAAAAAGATCTGCTCAGGTAGTCAGACCAATAAACTTAATTATAATGATTGAGGTGCATAGCATTACATAGAATAGGATTTTGAGATTCATCAAAAAGCAAAGCTCACTTTCCAGATATTGAGTGTTCTATTTAAAAGTCTTCTGAAATGCATCATAGCAAAACAGATTGCATAGCGATCAGGCAGACAGTGCTAACCTAGTTCTGTAAACAAAAACTTAGCATTCTGTATTGTCACTTTCTATCTATACTTAAACATTTTATTGTGGTACGCATTATTACCAATACAAAATATTCAGAATCAATGAAGGTACTGATTACATCATATCAATATGTGCTAGTAAGAGTAACCTATGACTGATCTCAATGATAATCACACAAACTATATATGACAGCTATAATAGAACTCTCCTTCACAAAATTTACTATGCAATATAAAGCCAGCATCATTGAGACTGCATGCAATTTCTGGACTATCCGTGTCTACTTTAGCTTCCATTTGTTTTTACAAAAGGCTTCTTCTTTAGCAAAATGTAAAACACAGGGAAAAAAAAATAAAATTGTGCCTGTTCTGTTTATTACTAAATGCTTTATGAGATTTATTGGACCACATTTCTGTCGTTTTTTTACATTACTTTTTTGAGCTACACTCAGATAGTATAATTATGCATTACACAAAAGACAAGACACATGCAGTAATACAACATATTTTATTTTTAAATTATTGGTCAGCCATGTTCTATCCATCATCTTTTCATTCCTACCCAGAAAATAATATGCATTTTAAGTGTAGAACATATTTTTCTAATTTCTGACGATATGATAAAACTTAATTAGGATTAACAGTGTAAAAGCTTAACTAAATAGATTTAAGTGAACATTCATATATACGTTATAAAAAAGTAACTGAGCATGCAAAATGTCATCTTATTCATAAGTAAATTATTATGAAAATGTTATATCTCAAGTAGGTAATAGACTTCCTTTTTGGATGAATTGCAGTTCATCTGAATTGTGAATGATCAGCAGGTCATCCAAATTCCAAAAAGCCAAATGATTAAATAAACTGAAATGGATAATGGGTGAGACAGTTTGATTGTTCATGTTTTAGTGTTCTATCCGTGTTGCCAAAATAAAACATGATTGATTGTTAGGAAACAGCCTCTAAAACAAACAAATGAATAAATAAATAAAACATAACAAATAAACAAGCCAGGGATCAACTGGGCAGTTGAAAAGTAAGCAAACTCTCAAAAAACTCAAATGTTGAATGAATGCGAACTGAGTTTTAAATGGTAAAAATACCATTCTATTTGGTTAAAATTATGATGTATATATTTGACAGTACACTGCATTTTGTCTGAACTGTTTTCCCAAATAGTTTGCATAAATAATCTGCAGTCTGTTCCAAACAGTAGCATTGAGGAAATTCAAGTGGAACACACACATTTTTTTTTGTTTAGACAAAATTAAATGTTTTCACCGTGCACAAGTCTAGTAGGAAATGCTACATATTTCAGGTCCAAGTACTAAGCAGTAAGTTATGGTAAGCTAACTGATAAGCAAAATGTAGGCTTTATTACCCAAGTTTGAAAATAATCTGATACTCAATTTGGTAGTGTGGGTAGTGAGGTTGGCTAACAGGGGCTGGAGCGGAAGAGGTTAGTAGTGGGTAATGAGGTTTGCTGACAGGGGCTGGAGGAAAAGAGGTTAACAGTGGGTTTGAGGTTGGCTGTCTGAAGCTGAAGGGGAATTTTTAACTTGGATTTCAGGGAGGGAGGGAGAGGAGCACATATGGGGTGACTGGGAACGGGGTAATATTGAAAAGAAAGGAGGAAGGGAAGTAGAACAGAACAAGGCTACCTCAAAGCTATGAAATAAAAAGAAACTAAAGAAAAACAGAATTAAACTAATTTACACATACTGAGCTCAGCTATAGCTCTGTCTTTGTGGTGTAGTTTGCTCTGTGAGCATTCCTTACACTACAGACATGCCTCTATTTTCATTGGATGTAAAAAGGCATGTTTCTGTCAGAGACTGGGAATCAGGAGCATGTTAAAATTTGAGAGGGGGTGGCTAAGGAGGCTGGGTATTTTAAAGCACTGCAGTAAAATTACACAGATTTCAAAGAAAAGAAACAAACCACAGGTATTTGAGCTTGTTAGCTTTCATTTAAGCTTGACTTGTTTAGCTGCCTGGAGTGTCCCTTTTATGTAAGTATATCTCCCTAACTACTCTTAATGAGACATCACCATACTCATAGCAAATGTAAAATGTAAAAGCCCCTTTCCCAATAGTGATCTGCCAATTAAGGTGATAAAAATACCTTGCTGTTACTGTTAGTACAACTGACCAATAAAACTCACCAATCTTGAGAAGACAAATAGAAACTCGCACATGTTTAAGTATATGGATACTGATAAACAAATAGATATACTTATATATGCATGAACAATACATTTTTCTTTACTGCATTACACAATATATATATATATATATATTTTGTGTAGAGATAGAAAATGAGTTTTTCCACATACAGGCCATCATCCTTTGTGAAATGCATTATGCTTTACCAAAGAAGAGCCGAGCTATAACTGTCACTGGATCATTTTAAGTTGCTGCAGCTGAAGTCATATCTTTTTTTTCTCTACTGCAGACCCTATCATTACAAACTGGCTGTGATTACACAGTTGTAGCAGTTGCCTGCTGCATTTCCTAAGAGTTGTAATCAAAGCTGTATCTCTCCATTCCAGAAAAAAAAAAAAGAAAACATTTCCAAAAGAATCAAATTATATTAAAATATAAAAATGTGCAGAAAGCCATAGAATTTGACATCCTGTAATTTCTTTACAAAAAAACCAAACAAACATATATTCTTCTAAAAGAATGAAAGCACACATGGAAAAATCACCGCTAGTCCCACAATTCTCTGTGACTGGATGACTTGTAGATAGTTATGGAAGTTGTGCTCCGATAAAACATGGGAGCCACTTGATGTCAGGTTTCAACTATAGCTTACAATTATCATTATAGATTTTCTAATAACAAAAATAATAGAAAACAAATTATCTGTGCCATTGATTAACAGCATAATCAATAGATTAAAACATTTATATATATGCTACATATGCTGGCATTACAGTGCAGTTTAAGTAACTGGGATCTTGTTGCCCTTGGCTTTTCTTATGTCAGGTGTTAAAAGGTCATTAAGTCAAAGACAGCATAAATCTAAAATCCATTCACCTCATCTTGGCTTGTGCTGTTGAAATCTATGCAACATGCTCTTTCTGTGCCCTTCATTCATCATTTTCAATTATTAGTACATTCATTGCTAACAAATAAATACCATACATTCAGTCGGTCTTATTGCTATCCAAAGCGTTCTGTCTATTTTATCATTTCTATTTCAAAAACTATATTCTGTTCTTCACTAAATAAAATATATCTTCTCAATCTGATTTTTTTTATGTCTTATTTTAGACTAACTAATGGTTAAATGTGTTTGTTTTTTTTAATTCACACTTTAATTCATTGTATGCACTTCTGCATAGAGTGAAGGAGCTGAGCCTCCCTTATGGCTTTTAGGGTGTCCTAGGGACCAGAGCTAGATGTTTACTTTTATTTACATTTAGAGTGTTAATGCAATTCATCAAGTGTATGCATTTTCATGTTATCA